AAGTCAGGAGATTTTGGCCTGGTCTGAACATCACGGAGAGCACTCACAAAAATGTGAGTGGTAGAAATCAATCACCAGACTCGGCACATAGTTTTGCAGTAAACTTCCCTTAACGAGTAAGAGCACACTCTAAAACAACAGCAAAAAAGGCAGTAAATAATCCATTAACAGTCATTTGTTATCACTATCCTTATCAAGTAGCATGCACTGTACTTAGCTATATGTGCCATTCTTGACTGGCAGGCAGTAAGTTTGTTCTGCATGCACCGTGCCGCTATAATGGATTCAGGGTCAGCAGCCAAGAGGAAATGATGTATGCTCAGTTCCGTCATAAACTTACGGGTCCACTGGCCTGGTACTGACCAGAATGGCGCCAGGCAGATTTTATTGACTGCCCTTTTGCCTCTAGAGGACAGCCAGCGCTGTATTTGGGTGCCTGGCACACTGCAAATGCTTCAGAATATATTATTGCTGGAGCAATAAACAAACTCCTAAAGAAAGCAACAGGGAAAGTTCCATTAGTGATCAGCCAGATGTGGGAGACGGCGTATGGAGGGCCAGTTATGCAGCACGCAAAAGAACTGACCAGCGTCAGACTAACAAAAGGGCTTAATCCCAACAGAGCACGCTGTCAAGAGGGACCACAGGTGGATTTCTGAGAGTGGTACTGGAAGGGTTTGCACTGAACTACAGCCCCAGTTTTTTCTAAAATTGTTTTAAATCTTGAGACTAGATCTCACTTAGTAACTAGGTTGCCCAGACTCCCTCAGCCTGCCAGAATGCTGGGACTGCCTGTGTGTGCCTGCACGCTCAGCTGAGATTGCAGGGTTTTTTATAAGGCATTCAGATATGGCCAAGGGTCTGAGTTAGCAACTGCAGCTATCTCAGAAATGCATGTTCTGGGGCATCTTTTCCTTTCTAATCTTTTAGCAGCGCCTGCTGTGTATCTAAAGTTGTACATCAAAGTTGCAAATTGACAAGGTCCTTATACTTGGGCCTCACAGAAGGCCCCTTCTCGCTGACTGAGAGTTATTTTTATTCCATGCTGGTTTGGGTCAGTGTCAGTGTATTACGCCTACTTAGAACACACTGGGGAGGACTCGTCTAAACAGAATTTTTGCTGCTGAGGGTTTTAACCCTTTTGCTGCCAACGAACAATCACAGTATTTCCTGAGGTCCTGCTGTGTGTCAGGCTCCAGGTCAAGGCAGTGGGAACATATCAGGGAAGGAGAGGTTGGTTGGTTGGTTGGTTTGTTAATCCTCTCTTTCATGGCGGCCAGCTGAAGGGAAAGGAAAGGAGGAAACAAAATACACGCGAATTACATCTGTCCAAACACACAGCTATCCATATGTACAGGTAGGGGCACTGACGATATGTTGGAACTAGTAAGCTCTAAGAAGAAAGAGAAAGCAGACGGGAGGGAGACTGCGGGCAGCGGTGTTACAACGGGCCTCCCTAGGACTGTGAATTTGAATCAAGAGACACGTGGGTCGGGCGGCTGGCGAGTGGATACAGGCAGAGGAAGAAGGGGCAAAGGTCCCAAGGCTGGAGCAGGGGTAAGGGTGGGCAGGGAGCCCCTGAGCTTGGGGAGGGAAGAGGGGAGAACCGAAAGAGCTGAGGCTGGGCTGGGCGGGGCGAGCGGGGCAGATCAGACAGCGCGGTGTGCACCCCAGCCACCTGGGAACTTAGAAATGCTCGTCCTCGGGCCCTCTCCCACCTGCGGAATCAAACGCCGGGGCGGGCCCCGCCGGCTGCGTTCCGAGAAGCCCTCCGGGCGACTGTGATGCGCGGAGGAGCTGGGCGCTCCCTGGAGCAGGGCACCCTTCGGCCTTAGGAGGCTATTCCTCCGAGCACGATCTCGCTCACCGCCCTCCCATTCCCCGGCCTGCCGGGGGGTGCAGGGGACCCGCCCGGCGCTCGGCTGAGCTGCCCCTCGCGCCGCGCCGCCGTCCGCAG